GACAACTTTCTCACTGTTCTCCTTTCTATTTTAAACACCGACTCCGACAGGCCTAAAGGCATGTTGATATCGCATCTCCTTTTTCCTTTTAATGGACCAGTCTTTTTCTAACGGGCTGCTGACAAGTGGTCCGGATCTGGACGCGCTTTTCGCCTTCGAGAGAGAGAGAGAGAGAGAGGATTTAAGGCTTTAGGATTCAGGGTTCACGGGTTAAGGGTTTAGTAGGGTTTAAGGGTTTAGGGCTTAGGGTATCCATAAACAGGCGGGCGACCCCAATGTGTTGTAGTCCCGATCATAGGGGCTCCAAATTCCCGAACCCCCCCCCCCTCGCCCCCGGCGCGCACCAATTTTGATTTCATGATGCCGAGGTCTTGACATACAATGGGAAACATGAAAGTTGTGACGTTCAGTATTATCCTACACCAACGAAGCACCAAAAAGGTCGCGGGTGTTTGACTTTAAGATCCTTGGGTTTTGGCTTGCACCTATTATTGGGCTTGGCGGGACTGAAGGATCAGGGCTCAGGCCTTCTTGCGTAGGCTTACTGCTTAGAATATGAGACCAGGCTTTGGGGTTTAGGAGTTAGGATTTGGGATTTGGGCGTGTGGCTCAGGAGTTGTGAGTTGGGCCTCTTCTGTGGGGTTCTGTGCAGAGCCTATTCCGGCAATACAACTCACCTACAGTTTCTCGAGTCTTAATGAATGACGCCATGAGATTGACATCGGGGCACTCTGCATTCAGCAAACTTCGTGGAGCATGGGCAAGTGTCATTTGAGGTGTGTGTCAGTGTGTCAGTGTGTCCGTGAGTGTGTGTGTGGGTGTACATCCTGAGCCGCTATTGCTGCAAGTTACAACTCATGGTAATCAACGCAGACTGATCTCAACCGAATTGAGCTTAAAAGTGTCCCTAGTTCCCTACATTCAAAGCTACTCGTGGCGTGTGAAAAAGCAGCTTCTGACCGCAATTCCGGAACTTAGGTCCCGAAGGAAAATGTGGGGTTTCGGGTTCCCATAACAAGGTTTGAAATATATTGAGGTCTATGCTGGGGCCCTCATAGAGGCATTCAAGGAGACAACCTCATGTTCTAGGGATGTAAGCCAGAATTGCAGAATCCGCTGTGGAAAGCTGATGGGACCCGGGTTGCGTCAGCATTCCACAGCGGATTCTGCAATTTGTCCATTGGAATTTTCCTAATAGTCCTAATATATCTTGCACATATGCACGCATGCGTGTGTACGTATATAGGTATATAAGTATAACACCTACAAAGTCTAAAGGGGCCATGAGCAAGATTAGGGTGCGCTGCCTTTCAGCCAGCTGATTTCACGGAGCGCCTGTGTACTTGGTCGATTCAGACCTGAACATTTCTCTACACGATGTCTGCACTTCAAGTCGCAGGGATTGGCAAGTAGATGATCGATGGGGTTTTTAGTCCACTAATTGCGATGAGCCTGCTTGTAAATTGGAACCTGTTTAGAACCTACCTATCTTTCCCCTCCGCCTTCGAGTAGCAGGCCGTAGGCTGCAGACAATACCAAAGCCCTAGGGGACATGGATAGGGCCTGCTGCCTGCCTTTCAAAGAGTATTTCTGCAAGAGCATGCCTTCATCCGAAATCGGCAGGCCGCTTTTGGTGCAGTATCCTGTCGGTCAACAGATTTGGTGGGGCAGTACATGTGCAGCATAGTATTCCTTTTCTGGCCCAAGCCCAGAGACCTGAACCCTTGCCGTGAAGTGTTCAACTGCCAAAGCCACCCTGAAACCTTGATCCGAGACCCGAAGGGCTAAGTGGTTGTTGTTTTGAGGTCTTGGGCTTAAACATCCCAATAGAACATCCCTGCATTATCCCTACAATATTCTTGCAACCTATACATTAGGAGGACCCCTCACCCTGTAACAGTGAATATAAGGGATAGTAGTATCTATATTAGGGTCCTCTTATGTTCCTAGTATACCACTATTACAGGGTGGGGGGTCCTCCTAACCTATACACTGTAGGGCTGAGAACTTAAGGTTGAACAACCTCCCAAAGGGTCCATGTAGCTATATAGTATATACTTGGGCCTTAAAGTAGGTATATGGGAACCCCTTTGGGCCCTAAGTATAGACCATATACCTACGCCCTAAACCCTAAACCCTAAACCCTATATACCTACATGGACCCTTTGGGCCTGAGGCCGGCTGAAGTATCTCCGCAACATGGACGACTGCTCTTCAACTTCGAGGTTTGACCCGTTGGTCACTTCCTGCGTTTAGGGTTTTGGGGTTTACAGACCTTTTTTAACCTTTTGGGTTTAAGGGTTAGGGCATGAAATGTTTAGGGTTTAATAGGGTTTAGGGTGCAATGTTTAGGGTTTAGGGTTTCCCTAGGGCTCCAATTAGGCCAATGTAGCTAACATTGGGGAATGTAGGAGCCCCAGTGTTTACAGACCTTTGACCTGTTGTGTTGAAAACTTTTTTTGGGGGGGGATGGGGGAAGGGGTGTTTTCACACAGTAGGGTACCTTATGGATTTTGGGAATATATAAGAACGAAAAGAAAACTACAGAGAGATCTCTGAAGGTGAGAACTCCTGTTAGAACCCGCGCAGGTAAGGACATTGCGCATTAACTGCACAGCTGTCTTTACTTTTTTGGCCTCTTGGGTCACCCTGCAGCACAGCGTAAACCCTGTTGAGTCAGCAAGGTACAGAAGTGCTGGCAGATGATGTTCAAGTCTGAGGAGGAAGCCAAGGAAAAGTGCAAGGAGGAGACCTTCAAGGGGTTTAGGGTTTAGGGATGTACAGGGGGATACTACCCCAATGATTGAGAATCAAATGGAAAGCATGGAAAATGTCATGGACAACCCTTTGTATGCACATGTATATGTATAAGTACACATCCCAGTCCCCCCTTACACGCACTTAAGGTGATGTATGACTTTAGCATCATCTCTGCCATCATCACATCCTCGCATCAAATCGCTCCCAAAAGGCCCCACCCCACAGCATGGCATGTGTTCCTGGTTACATATCGGCTTTTGAAGGGCATAGTGACCAGGGCACGAGAGGAAGAAGGGATTACCGGAGCTTGACTTGACAAGTTAACAGGACTCCTTGGGACTTAGCTTGGACCTGAGACCCTCAAATATCTTTTTGAGATTCCCTTATACTCCTATTGTGGCTAAAGGTTAACCCTTAGTTGGGGTCCTAAGTGCCACATAGAGGAGGGCTTCGACTGCAAGTGGGATGCGTCAAATCGCCTGACTCTCACCAACGTGCAGCCGATCCTTCGAAATCATCCTGTCACGGGCAAGGCTGCCATCAGTCCTTACTGGAGAATCCAAGTTTAGGGTGTAGCGTTTGGGGCTGATTTTGCAGCATTCCCCATATTATGCCACCTTTTGAACAGGCTCAAACCTCATTTGCTTTCTTAAAAAAAAGAGTTCACACGACCCCAAAGGTGGTGTTTACGGGCAGATAGGGAATCCGGTTTCTTCTGAGCACTATCTAGCACCCATGCCCTTCAGAAACGCCGAAAACAGCGCCTCAAATCCTAAGCCCTACCTGAGATCCAAGACCATTCTAAGACACTACCCACCTCAAGCCCTGACTCGGAAACCAAGATTTGGTACAACCACATCAATGTGCTGCATGGCCAAATGATGCCTGGAGACTATGCTCGCACCGCGAGCTTATGGAGCGGCTGGGAGAGGCAATCGATACGTTTAGGGTTTTGAGGGTTTAGGGGTTTAGGGTTTAGGGGTTTAGGGTGTAGGGTTTAGGGGTTTAGGGTATAGGGGTTTAGGGTTTAGGGGTTTTAGGGTTTAGGGTGTAGGATGCTATGGATATTAGGGCAAGTTCCTGGTTTTGCACAAGCCCGCAATGCAAGTGGCACAGTGTAAGACAACCACTTGTCAGGTGCGACCAGGTCCAAGAGCCCAGTTTAAAGAAATCCAAAGGGGGCCAGAGGAGCTCTAAATCCTATATGAGCCATAATCAAAACTCCTTAAAGGGGGTTATATGAGGAATTATATTTGGGACTACTATGGAGGTTATGAAGGGTGGTACTAGGAGTTTAGACTATGGCTCATACGTCTCCTTTTCAACTATGGTTCATGTTGCAAGTAGGCTTCAAGGGGAGGGTTGACTGTTGGTGAGCCCCCACGGCATTCCTTGTGGAATGGTACGGTACTTTCTTGGCGGTACTTGTTACCATTCGGGGCGGGCTGTAAATAGGAACTGCGCTCCCACTGATCCCTGACTTCTTGCTACAGCAGTACCTTGACGCAAAATGTCAAGATATCGGCCTTCACAGCGGGTTTCTCGACATCATTGCAACATGAAGTGAGTATTGCTGAAGATACCTAACGCCTTCTGAAAACCCTAAACCCTAAACCCTAAACCCTAATCCTATAGAAGCAGGAAAAGGTGTCCTAGGCCTTACTCCTTGACCTTGCCTCCTCAATGAGCCCAACACCTCAAAGGCATCGAGGCCTCCCCAAAAGGTGCGCACAAAAGGGATAACCTAGGGGTAATATAGGGGTAATGTATGGTTTTAGGGTTTGGGTTTTAGGGTTGATGATTTAGGGCTATCATCGAAAAGCCGAAGCCCTCTTGGTGTACAGGCTTTGGCCGATGGCTTTGAGCCTCTACTATCGAGTGCTCTTCGGTATCTACTCGATTTTCTACGCGGAAGTGGACATGGGGTCAACAGTCCTGAAGGAGACAAGCCTCGTGCCCATGGAGGGGACAACCATTTTACGGAAGGTTACACGAGTATAGGGCTTCGGAAATTTCAGGAGACTCTGCAACTTACTGAACGTGTAGCGCGTATCGAACTACGGTCACATTCATCGGCCGTGTCGGTGCCGCGCTCCTGGTGACTGACGTCGTTCTGGGGCTCCCAGATCTTCGGTGCATGTCAATCCCAAGGAATTGTATGTATTCATAATGTGCGAAGTAGAGCTTCTGTAGTAGGAGTTGGTAGATGTGCCCCGTATCTCTACTGGAAAGCCTTGGATGATACTGTCCCCAGCCACAGGGATCTGGCGTGCGACGGTCGCGATCCCGTCAACTGCATACTCAGAGGGTCTTGAAGACTTACTGAGTAGTAGATTAATCACCGTAATGAGACGTATGACAACTCCTGCTATCCCCATTATCAACCTACTTGCTAAGTCCCAATGACCCTCGCTTCCACGTGTTTGGACCCTCGTATGTCTGTTGTGTCTCGCACGTGTCACCAGCCGTGACAGTCACCTCGTTCCCGATCTTGCAACTGAGCTTTCTTTCGGGGAGTGGAGAGGGGTCGGCCGTCAAATGTACAGAAGTGAGTTTGACTTCGCATATGCCCAGTTGACGTCTGAATCAAATGTGTCCAAGTTGCAACCCCCAAATCCCGTCCATCAAGGGCTCCCCCCCAATACGAGCCCAACATAGCCCGTACATGGATCCCATTTTTCTGTTAGAGCAGATACAGAGTCCCCAAATAAAGATCTACTGGACGACTCTGAAGGAAATCCCTGACAATGAGGGTTTAGGGTTTAGGGCGTTTACTAAATTAGGGCTACGGCTACGAGCAGGTTAACGACAGCCACGCACATGGTGCTACGGTAGATGGATCAAAGGCTGCACGACCAAAGCTCACAGATCTCACATTTCCCAGTAGTTACATTGTTAACTTCGGGTCGACCCCAACATAGAACCCAAATACTATAGTCCTAACTATGGAGCCTCCAAAAAGGGTAGGACTCTTCGAAGTTCTCAGAACATGTGGGCGATTGTCTACGAAGCTGTCGGGCGCCGAGCGTTGGGCAAGCAGAGCTCACAGAAGGTCAAGCGTAAGCTGTCTCCAAGGAAAGGATGGAGGGTCCAAGTGCTTATTTTTGTAGGGCTTTCAGGTACCGAAAGCCAACGAGATGACAGCATTCTGGACCTAAAGCAAAATCCTGTGTTGACTTGACAACACGTATGAGCTCAAAAGAGGGCTCACTGTACTATGATGCCTGGTCTTGCTTCATGTTTTTTTTTCTAATCTTACTGGTTCTTAGTAGGGAAAAAGGGAATATAATCCCTATAAAAGATATTCCCACTAAGGACCAGTAAGCAATAATGAACGGAGGTCTCCCTCCCCCTGTCAAAATGTCCTGGCCCAAACGACAACATGTTTTTTCGGGGACGTTCTTTGTAAAACATTATTACAGATATACAGAGGCCATACGCCTTGTATTCGATTAGCATTTCGAACCTAGGAAAGGAAAATTCTAGTTAGATGAAAATCCTCAGCATTTGTCAGTATGGCATCAATGATGTGTTATTCTGCCAACTTCTCTGAAATTTCTATACGTTGCTTTGATATTGCTTCTTCTCTTGTTAGAAGGCGTGCTCCATTCCTGCTAAAACCCCTAAACCTGAAATCCTGTAGCAAGCTTCCAGCAGCATGCGCCATACCCATTATTTCCAACAACGCCAGAGAGCTTGGGAGATAAGGTGCAAGATATTGTGACGATGAATTATGTATCTTTTTCCTGGACCGGCCGAAAGACACTCTCGTCCCGACAGAGATACCCTTCCGTAAAAAAGTCCTTTAGCCTATCAATCAGAAAAGATCTACAGGACATAGCACGATAAATCATGGCTGGCATCGTAATTGTGGCCTCTTAAAATTTCATAGATCCCTCCTTCTGTGACGGTGAAGGAGAATGGCGACGTCTTCTCCCCTGAAGAGATCAGGGCCATGAAGGAGGCGATCCACGCGCACACGGTAAATCATGCCTACCAGCAAAATGCCACTTGGCTCAGCTCTGGGTGGCGAGCCTAGGACTTTACGGTTTGAAAGCCCAGGATATCTGGTACTTTTGCATATATAAGGTGGACCCCATTTGGCTGCAATGGTGGATTCAGATTTTGGTCGGGCAGTTGTTCAGTGGATGCTGCACAGCGTCAGGGTCTGTGGAGACCTTATGCTGAGTGCTCAAATCTCGTAGCTGTCCAGTGCGAAATAGTCACGAACCCCAGTCAATTTTGGAGAGCCAAGGACATCGTCATGTTGGATAACCACCGAATAGGGCACGGCAGGGAGATCTACCTTGGACCCAAGGAATCCCGGGTGATCTACACAGCCTGGTCAGATCACTATCCACCCTCCTGGGCCGGCCCAGAGGATTCTTCATCTCACTGTCGCCAAGCCTAAAGGGCATTCGAGTATGTATTATGGTATATTACAATATATTTTGGTATATTATGGTATTCTATAATATATAGCCAAACCTGAAAAAGCCCAAATGATCACGTCTCACGAATGTTTTGAGGGGCCGCGGGGCCCCTTGTCAAGAGACCGAGTATGCATTTAATGTGAATATGCCCTCTTTGGTGTCCAGTCTTTCTGCGGGTCCGTGTATCCCATAATTCCGTACTTCCAGGTTCTGGGCTAGTCACTGCAGCTTATCGTTTCGGGAAGTGTATCACTTTCGGGCACCTGGACCTGCATGCCAAGCTGCTCCGCGAAGACAGATGTCAGAAAACTTACTCCTGGCAGAAGTTCGGCGTCGAGCAGCAACCGCAACAGCCCTAATGTTGCCACTTTCCTAGTTGAACAGAGGGACCTGGGAGGAGTCATCTTGAGAAATGCAGATGTCACGTTGACGTTCACTACAGTTCGCTTGTTGTTTGCTTTTGTGGTTCCCTGGTACCATCATCGTTTTACGCAACTCTGGCTGCAAGAAAAGCATTCACAGGTGCAGTTTGCATCCAAGCTCGTGCATACAAAGTTGCTGCACGGCAAAACCGACAGGTCAGATGCCATGAACGCAAAAACAGCTTGGCAGGGTACCATACGATAAGTCAATCCCGGGGAAGGCAAAATGTCAAGCATCTCTTTGCCGAATTGTGCTCAACTACTTCATGATTCGCTCTCACCGCTATGTATTGACCGTTTTGGAGTTGTACGATTTGAAACGTCGTTTAGGCGTCTTGTGGGGGTTCAAAGAGGTGATTGGGATTTCCAAGTTTTATTTATGCATCATGGGTTACGTGTGGCAAGTCTACGTACAATAAATGTTAGCTACAGCCAGCTTTATGGAATTCAGCCGCACTCATGACCTGCAAAATTACATGAGTTGCATGGCTACTATGAAGTTTCTTGTGCCTTGCAACGGTCTGAGCATTTGAAACACAACTCCAAATAAGTGGTTACCAGGTTTGTACTCAATAAAGGCCTCATATAATGCTTGTGAAAACGTTGCCTTGTTTCTAATAAGGTCTATGTAAGCTTCCTTGAAGATTACCCATTTTGTATTTACCCACCTGGAAAAGCCCTTGAGTAGTGAGGTGTTAGATGTCCTTAAGTTAGGTCATTCCCGCTTACAGAAACTGTTGCAAAACAAGGTAACTGGAATTATCATAACCCCCCCAACAAAGCCCCGTTAAAGACCCAACCTCTAAAGTTGTAGTTTGTTAGCCGAAGGCCAAAGGCACGATATAGCCACTTATAATTTCATTTTCCATGTCCTTTTCCATTTGATTCTCCATTATTGGTAGGATTGTATGAGTAGGGTCTCCAGCTCTGTATGATCCGCAGGGTCCTTCAAAGTAGATTCCGACTGCAAACGCCAGAAGCTTCAAAAGCCACAGTCCAAACATTCCTAACCAATTAGGGGAAGTCTTATTCCCAAACCGTTTTGAAACTCGGTGTGATAGTTTCAACTTTTTCGATTAGACTTTTAGGGCTAAGGTTGTTCTTTTTCTCCTCTCCCCCAAGCCCAGCATCCTCCAACTCGATACCCAGCGGATCCAAACAGCCCAAATTAGGGTGCTACTTATGGAACTTATAGCACAAAAGTGAGTAGACTTTGTCGACATGGATACCCGGACTCATGGAGGACTATAGGCCTGCAAGGAGTACACTTGCAAAGATACTGCAGGGAGTCGAGCCTGTCAGCGCTACACCTGAGACACCCCAATCAAACCCAAAGTAAACACTAAACCCCCAACCCTACGCCCTAAACCGGACACCCCACCCCTAGGGGTCACAGTATCTGATCTGCCTATGCTTCCCCAGAACATGCAGCACAGTTACTTATTGACCGTACTCACTTGTTGGGTAAAGGACCCTAAGGGCCAACCTAAACTTTAATACTGACATATCGTTTTCCATGTTCTTCTCCATTTCCAGTATGGCCCGATATACTCCTACATAACCCATGTACCTATCTTGTAGTGGAACTTCAAGCTAAACACCCTCAACCTGAAACTTTCCAACTCTAAACATCAGACCTACTTGGAGGGTCATTAGGGCCTAGAAAGTAGGTTAATAACCCCTATAAGCAAGAGTATTAACTACAGTCCTATTATTGACCTACTTACTAAGTCCCCATGAGCCTTAACCCTAAACCCTAAACTCCCATTTTCTTTTCCATGATTACTCCATAACCCCGATATAACACCTATATAGCCCCTATACCCTAGAACGCCTGGAGCGTCTCCCTTTTCCAATTATTACTATATGAGCTGTAGTTTGAACTCCTTAAAAGAGGGTTACATGAGGGATTATATAGGGGCTTACTATAGGGGTTATGCAGGGGGATACTAGGAGTTTAGCCAATGGCTCATATAACTCCTATATGACCCTAAACCCTAAGCCCTAAGACTTATAGTAGTTTCCATGTTCTTGCCCATCATTATTTACGAACCCCTATATAAATTAAACCCTAAACTCTATAGCAGTTTCCATTTTCTTTTCCACTATTACTCTATAATATAACGCCTATATGGTACATGACCCTCCAAGTAGAAAGCCGAGGTCGATTCTAAGACAGGCAAAGCTGCTGCCGGCATTGCCAAGATGGTTCACTGCCAGGATTGGGGGGTAATACTAGGGTTTTAGGGTTTTAGGTTTAGGGTTTAGGGTTTAAGGGTTTAGGGTTTAGGGTTCTATTGGTATAGTGTATTGGGGACTTAGCTTGGACCTCAGACCCTTCACCTTTTTGGATTCCTTTATACTCCTATGGTAGGTATCTAAGGGTTAACCCTTAGTAGAGGTCCTAAGTGCCACGTAGATAGGGATAATGGAACAGAAAATGGAAACTACTACGTATCAGATTCAAGGGGGCTTAGGGTTTTTGTTTGGGTGTTTGTCATGGGTTCCTCGTTCTGCCCAATATACTACGCCCCCACGGTTCCCCTCAAATCGGGTTTGTTTAAAGGTTGAATAAGGCTAATATTATCAAGGCGGGACCTAGCCTCGGCAGTATAGGGAGGGTGTAGCAGGGACACTTGTAACGGATGCAGGGTTGAGGGTTTAGGGTTCGAGCTTCCCCAGACAGGGGCCGGGTTTACTTAGACGTTGCGATGGAATATAATAGTAATTTAAGCTTAAACGAATATGTAGTAGTTTCCATTTTCTTTTCCATCATGCCAGTATTACCCTAATATTTACATACTATGGCAGATCAGGAATCTTCGCAGAGTCCAGGTATGGTTTAGGATGCAGGATTCGAGCTTTAGGTGCCTGGGTTTGCTGCTCATCCACGTGGTGAATCACATTTCCCCTGCTAGGTCGTTTGAACACGCCTGTGTTTCCTGTCCCAAAGGGTCCATGTAGCTATATAGTATATACTTGAGCCCTAGAGTAGTTCTATGGGAACCCCTTTGGACCTTGAGTATAGACCATATACCTACATGGACCCTTTGGGAGTGTTTAGTTACTGGACCCCTCTTGTTGGCTCGACCAAAAGCTGACTTCAGCAGGAACTGCGCACAAGAAAGGTTGCGAGGATTGGCGTCTCCCGCACCTGTCTTCATTGCCATCATATGAGCTATATAGAGTCTAAACTCCTAGTATTCCCCTTACTAAGCCCACAATACTCCTCTACATAATCCACTAAATAACCCCTGTAAAGAGTTTAGACTATAGGTCATGTCTTACTTGTTACTTGATTTTGTGTGTTGAGGGCCTTGGTGAACACGCTCACCTGTCATGGGCCCAAATGTGCAAACATCTTTAGGCAGCCTCCAAGTCACACCTCACCACGAGCGTCAACTTAAAATGCTGGCGGTCATGTTCTCCGGTCCTACTGTACCCGAAACCCTACAGCCCTAAACCCTGAACCCTACAACCCTAAACCCTGTCCCACTGAACCCTGAACCCCAGCCACACGACAGTCTTGCTACCAGACTGTCCATGGCCGGAGGAGTACCAACACCCACTTCGTTCAGTACCTACCTCTCACAGAAGATGTGGCCTCAGATCAGCGTAGGGCTGGGGAACTGGGTAGGCCCCTGGGAAGCTTAATGTTTTCCCTAATGGCTTTAATAGGGGACCATATATACTAATATTGTTAATATTGTTCAATGGGTTTTAGGGGCCAACCTAGGGAACTATTTTGAATGACCCCAGGACCACTACTAGTACGGTACTAGTACGGAGTTAGGGAATTATGTGACGTGATACTACAGGGTTTACATGGGAGTAAGAGACTTCACCGAACGGCTGCTGCACAGTCCATAAGGTGGATAGCAGCAATCCGCGTACTGTTCGAAATGCTTGCATACTCCGTAAACATCCCAGAATGGCAGCTTCTTAGGATGGATTCGCGCAGTAGATTCAGTAGATGTGTATATATATATATATCTACACACTACGTAACTGTAATGGAAATCCTACATCTGAAGTCTGGGTTCTTAGCGGGTGTTTGGCTTCCTTGGGCTTTGCTCCGGAGGCTTAGCCTCAAAAATCCTAAGTATCTATGCAGTGCAAAACAGGTTTTCTTTAGCAGGAATGAGTCATAAGGGTTGGATTAGTTCAGTCCTTGGGAAAGAGGATGCCTACTTAGATCACTCGCCTCGCAGGAGCCTAGAGTCTAGCATGTTCTGGAACCCTTCATTTATGGGGGTTTTCCAGAAATTGGGATGGGAGTGCTTATGAGAAGGATCATATGTATTGGGGTCTATATTGAGGCTCCATACGTGGAAAACTCCTTAAGCTTCTCATCATGATTTTCGCACCTGGTTTATGAGTATCTAACCCATAAACACCGGGACCTGAAGCCCTAAACCTTCAACATCCGCTCCCCCAATATCGGAGGAAGGAAGAGCTTCAGGCCTTAGCCGGATTTCGATCAGTAAGTCCTAAACCCTCTGTAGAAGCTCCGGTTTGAGGGACCATGGAACTTGGCAAAATTATGCCACCTGCCT